CCTCTTCTTTCCCCTGCCCCTCCTGCCTATGGCCTCCCAGGCGCCCCCCACCCCAGCCACCACAAGCACCAACCCTGCGGAGTCAATAAACACAACATATGCTGCCATTAATGTGAAAATCGTGCCCTCCACTCCATTCATCCCCTCAGCCTGCCTGCCTGCCTGCTGGGGGTGGGGGTGGGGGTAGGGATGGGGGTGGGGGAGGAAAGGTCAAGTGGGAACCATTAACTACCCTCTTTTTTGGTCTGTTCCATCTCCCTACCCTACCACTGTGCTGAAAAAGAGAGGAGCCCTAGGGAGCACGGGCAGGGTTAGGTGAGGGTTTCTGAGACGCATTCTTCAACTGACCCCCACCCCAAGTCTTCCATAGCAAAACACGTGAGAATCTTTCTGCTGCTGCCCGACCACCTCTAGCTCCAGAAGGAGGTCAGATGAGACCTGAGGCCCCCACAAGAGAGCCATGCTGCTGACAGGGTCACAGGGGTCTCTTCTTTTGCCGAGTCAGGAGCCCCCCTTGACTCCTGGGAACTTGTATCAGTCTGTCTGTCCAGTTATAAAAGAGGAACTCAAGTGCCTAAGTGGGCTTGGGCTTCAGGAAGCCCTTATGGAGAGAACCACATACTTTAGATGACCAAGGAAGGAGTGGCCTGGCCTCAGTCTACACAACTAAATCACCAGTTCCAAGACAGCCGGGAACAATAAAGATAAAAATAATATAATAACAACAGCTAACATGTATTGAGGGCGTATTTATGTACCGGGCATTGTTCTAAGCACTTTACAGGCTTTATCCAATTTGTTCCCCCTAAGACCTCTATGGGGAAGTTACAACTGATAGCCCCATTTCACAGCTGAGGAAACCTGCTTAGTAGGGATCGCCATGTAATCTATGCTCACAGAGCACCAGGCCCTGTGTTGAGACAAGGTCAGTGACATCACTATCAGTGGCATCTTACAAAAGAGGAAAAATGACACTGGGAGAGGTTTAATAACTGGCCTCAAGTCACAGCCAGTACTTAGAACTCAGCCAGGACCCTGGGTCTGTCTGCTGGCAAAAACTTGTGCCCTTAATCCCTCTACTTCCCGACTGCCTTCTCCATTTTTGTCGGAGGCCGGCAGAGCATCAGCACCACATCCCTCCAATCCACTTTGTGTGGGCTTGGAAACGGGCCGGCCGGGCAACAGGAGAATGGAAGGGCGGTGGCCAGCCTCAGCCCAACTCCTCCCTTGCTCTATGGTCACTCTTTGCTTCCGCTGAGCTGTGTCCAGGCAGCATTTGTCCTTATTGTCCCTCCACCCACCAGCCCAGGCCTGTTCTGAGGATTCACTGTGAGCAGGCAAAGTGCCCCTTTAGGCTCCCAGAGCTCAGAGCCGTTGTGCTTGGCTCTGCAGCTCCTCACTTCTGAGACTCCAGTTGCTTTATTGATATTAACCTAACCCCCACCACTACTTCCCCATCCGCCCTGGCCCAGTCTGACGGGCAGAAATCTGCTGCCTGGGCACCACCCTGACCTCTCTTTTCCTCTTTCATTATCTACTCCCGGGCACCAGGGAGCCAGCACCAAAATTAAAACAATAACTAAGCCCGAAGTGGACCCAGCAGCCCCCACTTCCACCCCAAGGGAGGGGGGATAGGCCACAAAAAACACCTGGAGAGCAGAACTGGAGAGGAAGATAATCAATGGAAAGAGGAGGGGGTGACTCAACCCCATACCAGCAACCCTACCTGTCTTAACCCTTTCTCTCCTGCATAGTGACTGGGATGCCCCCATGTAATCCTTCTCACTTGTTCTATATATATATATATATATATATATATATATATAAATCGAAACAACAGACTCAGGCATCAGCTTGGCAGGTTGGTACTTAGAGTTTGAGAAAAAACCAAATTTGAGACCATGAGGTCTCTAGCAACCCACACATCATGGTTAAGATCCCTAAAAGACCCCGGTCGCACCAAAGAAGGAAGTTCCTCTTGGGGCAAATTCTTGGAGGATTTTCTGATCACTTAGGAGGGTTTTCTGATCACTCAGCACTAAACCCTTGGAAGACTATGGCTTTGTTTCCTGTTCAGAGTAACTGAGGACGCAGGCAATGGTGTTGCTTCTTGCTTCTCAGAGGAAGTCAAATGATTTGCCCAGGCTGATGTCAGCTACTGACAGAACCAGGATTCCAGTGCAAGCTAAGTGCGCTGGCCCTGGAGCCTGCGACTTGGCCATTCTGCTGAGCAGTCTGCATGGATCTCTCCAGCGTGTTGTGGAGCCTGGCTAAACAAGGAGGTCTAATTCAGGGATACTCCAGCTCCTCATTTCCCAGGCTGTAAAATAGGACCCCTGTGATCTGTCATCTCATTTCAGAGTGGCCCAGCCAGAAGGAAAGCAGGGAGAAGCAGGGTCCGTTCTAAGCGCTGCTAAGGCCAACGTGGGGGGGGGGGGGGGGGGGGGGGGGGGGGGGGGGGGCGTAGCTGAGGTCAAGTGGTGAGCCAGGGAAACTTGGCCAAGTTTTGTACCCTCTGGGTAAAGGCGTGTTTTCCTCATGCAGCCCACCTGGATATCCAGGGACGAGAGAGAGAGAGAGAGAGAGAGAGAGAGAGACACCAAACTGTCCTGTATGCCGAATTCTGCCTCACTGCTCCAGCCTCAACCATGGTTAGCTGACCTAGAAGGAGGCTCTGTACCCACTGACACCAAACTTCATCCTTCAGCAAGGCCCTTCTCCGCTCTCCTCCATCTACACACCAGCCTCTAGGGGGCTGCTAGTCACCCTATTACCTTGTCCCAGCAGTGAACAAGTCGTCATTCACCTTATTTCTGCTGACACAAGGATGGGACTTTTCAAAGGCATTGTGGTAGGAAAAGAAAGAGAGAGAGAGAGAAGAGCCAAACACGCACTGTTCCTAAGGACTTTACCTAAAATGCTCACACTAATTGTAAAAGGCGGGGACCCCTATTCTACAAAGGGGGGTTAAGAGGCTCAAGCTGGTAAATGGCACAGCTGAGATTTGAATCCAGGTGGTGCACCCTTATGTAACACTCCATTTTCCAAAGCTGAGAGGGAGAGAGGAAGACGGGGCGGGCGGCAGGGTGGGGGTGGGGAGTGGGGGGTGGATATTAAAGCTTTTAAACTCTTCCTAATTCTTTTGTGTTTGTTTTGTTTTCTTTTGTTTTGAGACAGGATCTCTCCACATAGGCCTGGCTGTCCTGGAACTCAGGCTGGCCTTGAACTCAGAGATCCACCTGCCTCGGAGGTGCTGGGATTAAAGGCGTGTGCCACCAAGCCCAGCTTCAAATTCTTTACTGTGCGCTAGGCTATGCCCCCACATTCCCCAAGGGCATTCTTGCCTACCATGGCATTCCTACAGGGTATGGCAAAGTGGGGTGTGCATACATGATGCCAAAGGAATCTGAAACAACCCAAGGCCTCAGAGGGCTGCCTGCCATACCCCGGCACAGAGGATACTTCTTATCTTAACCTTGGCTGGTGTGGGTTCTAGACTCAGCTACACTGACTGCTAGCCATACGCTTCTTACCACCAGAGCCAGGTCTGGTCTGGTCCTTAAACCTTTCCAGAACCGTCTCTTCTTTTTGTATGTCTCCCTAGACCACATGAGAGCCAGGGCTGGCTTCCATAGTTAGTCTTAGAGCCTCCAGATACCTACCTCCATTTCCCTCCAAAGACTAGTCAGCGTCCATGAGGAGCTCTCAAGGGCCATTCCTCATCAAGCTCAGGTCTCAGTTGAGCCTGTCAGCCTGCAGCATATGGTCAGGGCCAGGTCTGCCCTTCGGAAGCTCAGCTCCTTCACCCTAGCCCCTCCCGAGTTCAAGTTGTCCTGAAAGCCAGAAACCCCTTTGCCTCCACCTGTCCCCAGCCCCAGCAGAGCAGACATTATTTTGCTGCCCCTTCAACACAAGCCCTCTGCCGCTCTTGTTCCTGACATGAGAGTTTCCTCTAAATCCCCACACCGCCTCCTGTGACCCACTTAGAATCCTAACTCCATGGACCTAAAATAGAAAGCACTCAACGCAAGCTTTTCCCTTCCCGCTATTGCTGAATAAAGCTTGCCTCTTCAGAAAAGAGACGGTGGCGGCACCAACCAAAGTGATAGCCACCCACCTATTTAAAAAGGGTAGCCGCCATTTGTCTGCCCACCCCACCTCCCCCGCGGTATCAGTTACCATGAGGGTCTCTGGTGTGTGTGTGTGTGTGGCTGTGGACTAGGTGCTTCCCTCTTTGGAGTTTGGGAAAACTCCAAAGTGACCGCTAGCCCAGGGCTCCTCTGTACTCCAGGGCATTGATCTGGCTCCATTGATAGCTGATTGTTTTCACACGTGACTCGGTTGCATTCCTCTAATCTCCACCCTACTGCACGGTTTGCATGACAAGCAGCAGCGGCCTCAGTGGAGAGGGGTCGCTCACCTCTGACCAGGATATAATTGGAAAAAGAAGGTCATTGCCGCCTTTGCTTCTGGGGCAGAGCAGCTTCGTTCCATCTGCGGCACTAGCTCTTGCCAGCACATACTCTCAATGACATGGAGACAATGGCTGTGCCCCACAACGGAACCCACAGAGATGTGCTCAGTGTAACACAAACACACCACAGGGCCACACTCACTCTCATCAGGGCAGGCATGTACACTGTCACCACACACAATAGGTGCTCTCTCTAAACATTGACACTGATGACACACAGGATGATGGGTACCCAGTGACATCCAGACACAGAGGATACACAAAGAAATGCATAAGGCAATGCTTACCCAATGACACAGACACCCCACATTTACACATTGTGACATATGGGCATATTCACAAGGGCAAATACCTAGGGCTGAGCTACCACATCCAACACGGGGGGGGGGGGGCGGGGGGCGGGGGACGACCAAGTAATGACTCTCTTTGGGTAATACTCACTTGGGAATGTATCAGAATTAAAGGGGAGCTCTGATAAAGTACGTGTTTCCAGAAACCCCTGCTGGCACGTACACAGCCCTGACAATGAGGTTATGAGTAAATTTATTTGTGTTAAAGGAACCTCATCAAGCAATTGTGATAGAAACAGGGCTGGGAATCACCGATGTGCTACTACCATTAGGGCTCTTCTTTTTCTGGATGGTACAGTTTGTTGGCAGGGATGTTGGGCTGTATTTTCTTTTCTCAGTCCAGGAAGGGAAGGCTCCAAGCTGGGGAAAAGGAGGAAGATAATACATCAGTGACTAGGAGATTAGGTGGTCAGACAATTTCCAGGAACTGAAGGAGTTAAAACTGGACTTCATGCCATTGATCCTTAGCAACCTTGGCCGGACTGGTTAGCACCTTACACAGCAAGGTGAAGGACCCCTCACATCGGGACATTTCCAAGATTCCATACACCGCTGTCAGGATGTAAAGGCCCAAATGCCATACCCAGGCCGAACTGACAGTAACCATTGGCTAGCCCCGGGCTCCGTGACACAGTCTTTGGGCACTAAACTGCTTCAAGGTCCCAGGGAAACCAGCTCAATACTAGCAAAAGTCAAAGGTTCCTTCTATTCCCGGGCAGAGGCGCCACCCTGTTCCCAGCCCGGCCACACCGTAAGGCTTCCGGGAGAGGACAGAGGACACCCGCCACGCGGAGACCAGGCGTTGGAGGCGACAAGTCACAGCCTCGGTGAGGACTCGCGGAGATCCCCTTGGCGACCAACAGGATCGGGCCGCCCCCTGGTGGTTCCACAGCACAGTTGAGGTCGGAGAAAACAGCGGCTTTGGGGTCGCGCAGCTCAGGGACAGGTTCCATCTTCCTCGCATCCTGGGGTCGAAGGATGCTGAAGCGATGCACGCCCCCCCCAGGGCCGCCTGTACCGTCCTTCCCTTTGACTCTCCCTCTACCCCCACTTTTCCTCTCCCCCTCCTTTCCTCTCCATCTCCACTCTTCCTGCCTTCCTCCTCCCCCTCCCTCCCCGCCGTCCTTCGCCCACCCCTCCCGCCCCCGCCGGGCAGCGCCTCGGTGCGCCAGCTTGGCAGTTAGCCCATTAGATCTCGTACTATTGATCCGCTTCTGAGCCGAAGCTGACAGTGCCCCCCTTCCCGATCTCCCCCTGTCCCCATTCCCCGCGACCCCCTCCTTCCTCCCCTCCCTTCCATCTCCAGGCAGTCCTGGCCTACGATCACCCCCCCCCACACACACCTCCTACCCCCCCAGTCCTCAGCGGGCTGTGCCGAAGTCTCGCCCTCACGAAGGACAGGAACAAATGTAATTAAAGCGACCTGCGAGGGGGGTGCGTCCTAGCAAGCCCGAGCGAGCGGGGGTCCCAGCGGCCCGCGCGGGGCCCGCCACCTCCTTTCCTCCCTATCCCTCCCTCGCCCCCCTCCCGGCCCCCCGGAGCGGGAGCATTTGGGTTGAGCGGCGCCTGTCCTATAAATCCACATATAATTCTCGCCTTTCCTGTTCAGCTAAGGAAAATAAACGTGTAAGGCTGTTTCTGGGAGCCCAGCTCGGGGACCGCTCTAAATTCTCCTCTTATTGAGTCGAGGCTGGAAATCATTCAACTCGGCGGCGCGCTCCAGATCCTCCCCCGACCCCCCTCCCGGGTCGCTGGGGTCCGGGCCCGCGCCTGCCGCGCACACGCACGCGCGCACACGGAAGGCAGGCGCTGGGTATATAAATATCTCCAGCTCTCCCCATAGCCGGGCAGATTTATTCCGCTGCCAAGCCTGCAGAAAATTGACTTGTTCATGGAGGCGGCTATTGACACATCACCGGGGGGAGGGTTAGGGGAGAAAGCAGTGGAGCCGGCGCCCCTCCATTATACGTTAATGTAATCAGCAGTGTGCGAAATGACTGCGCGGAAAATAGCATCACTGACATTTATATTAGAGGATATTGATGGCAGGAGCTGTGACCGCATCACTCTGCCTCCCGTTTCCACGGATTGACACAGGAGCCTCTTGTTGGCTCCATCCACGCTTGCCTCCCCTCCCCCCTCTCCCCCTCCTTCCCACCCTCTCTCTTCCTCTCTCCACCCACTCTGTGTCTCTCCAGGTCTCCCCCTCTCCTCGTCTTACACCCACCCTGCCTGTTCCCCCTTCTGACCATTCATTTTCCAAATAATTCTTGAGCACCTACTGGGTGCCCCTCTCAAAGATCTCTCCCAGGAGTCTGCCTAGGTTTATCCCTCTCTTCCCCCACCATGCTTTTGCCTTCCTTCTCCCGCCTTCCCAGCTCCCCCTCCCCTCCCCCCTGCCTTGGCTCGATGGCTGGACCGCTGCTGTCACAGCAGATAGATAATTGAAAAATGGGCCTCACCTTTGCAGCCAGCAGGAGTGGTTGAGGCGGTAACCGCCGGGGTTACCTACTCCATCTCAGGCCCAGGCTCCAAAGGAGATTCTGAGGAAATTGGATTTTACATGGATGTTTTACTCGGGCAGAGGCTTTAGTGTATATAAATACAGGCGAGGAGGCCTTGGCGGGAAGGATGAGCGAGGCCAGATATCTATCTAATCTACCTGCACCACCCCCAGGTTCAGAGGAGGCAGGCAGGCCTTGTGCTCTGCTCTGGGTCCCAGACCTGGCAACCATGCACTGCCCCTCATCATCTGGGACAGAAAGAGGTTAATCCTCTCTACAGCAGCGCCTGGAAAGCTGTCTTGGGAATACAAGTGTCTTTGTCAGGGCTCGGCAAGCCGGAATACCGAGAAGAAAGGAAGGGAAAAGACCGGAGAAGTTTGAGGGCTGACTCTCCCAGGAAATATTTATGGAAACCTTACCTCTGAGTATTGTGTTGGGGTGCAAGCGTAAGTGGGTTAGGCAGAGGTGCTGCCTTCAGTCTGCTTAGAGAATGGCATTGTGGGAGCTCAGCGTAGAGAAAAGAACCGCGGGGAAAGTGGTGTTGAGATCTCTTCTCTGGAACCTGATCAGGACCTGAACTTGGGGGAAAAAAGGGAGGAAGCTGAGGTCGGGAGGATGATGGTACCCCTCTCCAGTCTTACCCTCTGGCCCGGGTAGCACTGTCTTAAGAACGCTTAGTTATGAGCAGTTCTGTGGGCTAGTTCACACCCAAGATGAGAGTCTCTGGAGGGCTCAAGTGATGGATTGTCTAGGACCCGAGTATGAGGTGGGAAGAGGGTCTGAGTGTGGAGTGCTTTGATGGAGGCCGAAATGGAAGGCACAAGCGCAGTAGAGACGTCAGAAGAACCCAGAGATGTGAGATGATCGACATGGAAAGGCTTACAATTTTGGACAGTCCAGTTCTTGATCAATTAGGTCTGTTGTTTTGAGCCCATAGCAAGACAGAAAACCACGGCAGGCATCTGTGGCGAGCCCGCTCACTTCACAGTTGGGAAGCAAGAAGAAGAAATAAGGACCTGGAGAGAAAGTGCTTGTCCAGCACGTGGAAGGCTCTGGGTTCAAGTCCAAGCACTGAAGGAAGAAAGAAGGATGAGACAAAGAGGATGGGGAGGATGAGGAGGAAGAGTGAGGGGAGGGGATGGATGGATGGAGGGAAGGAGGGAGGGAGGGAGGGAAAAAGGAAAAGCAATCTCCTTTGGAGTAAGACCCCCAAGTCACTGGCTCCTGAGGCTAAATCTTTACTACATGGGCCTTCTGGGGGCTCTTGAGATATAAACTATAGCAGGAAGAAGGAAACAGGGGGCGGTGTTTAGACTGGAGAGTCTCCAGCAGCTGAATGACCCCTTCTCACAAGAAGCTTTCCAGTCATGGGTGGGTTTTTTTTTTCTATGTGTCACCTGATCTCCAGCGTGGGTCTATGAAACTGATAGATCATTGCTGTTCCTTAGAAGGAGATAGCTTGGTTTGAGCCCTTGACTGAAGGACTAGAATTGAGTGGTGGGCCCTGATGCAGACTGCTCTCTGAAGGGTTCCTTCAGAGCACAGAACAGACAGCAGCTGCCTTATGGGAGCCACATCACTGAAAGCTGGACCAATCTGCCCCCCCCCCAGAGCAACACCCCCAAAGCCCCCTGCTCTCTGCCACATCGTTATGCTGTTACATCATCAGTTTTGGGGCAGGACAGGTGCAGGATGGATCATAGCCATCCTTCCAGCTGCTCTCGCACATCCCAGGCACTCCCAGATGGCATCCTGGGAACTCCAGTCCAGCTGCAGGATGGGAGTAGTCTGGGGTAACTAGACTCCTTCTCGGACGCTCCCCACCCGACCCTTGTCAGCATCTTCCCTCTCCTCTGAAGATTGCAGCCATCTGACAGCTCAGCAGAAAGGAGTTTCTCCCCAGCTGTCCAGGAGCGAGGCCTTCCTCCTTGCCTTCATTACTTGGGCCTTGCCCACCCTAGCCTCTGCCCTCAGAGAATCACAGAGAAGTGTGCTCTCACTCTCCAGCCCCGCCCCCAACCACACTATTTATTTTCTCTTCCTGTGACTCATTTGACATATGGACCCTGAGAGTCTGGCTTTGCTTCTAATTTAGGAGGCTCCTATGGGTTGAATGTTTGAGCTCCTCCAAAATCCTTACATGTCTGTCAGGCATGACTATGTCATGAGAACTTAATGAAATTAATGCCCTTATAAAAGGGCTTGGGGGAGCCTATTTGTCCCTCTCTCCACCCTACCATAAGAGGGTGCAGCAAGATGTACCAGCTATGAAACAGAAAAGGAGCCTTCATCAGATCCCAAATCTTCTGGCTACTTGCTCCTGGACTTTGCTCTCCTCCAAAAGTGTGGGGAATAATGTTCAGTTATTTATATTTTTGTTATAGCAGCAGGAGCAGCCTAGTACAGAGAACATAGGCGCATGCGTGTAATGACTGTGTGCGCATGTGTATGACAGGGTCCCTGCACATCGAGGACACAGGGGACATCATTTATAAAGCAATTTTGGTTTTTCCCTGCCCTCCAAATTAGGAAACTGAGAGTTGGGGTTGTAACTTAGTTCATGGGGGGCTTGATTAGCATACATGAGGCCCTGGGTTGGCTACTAGAACCACAGTGCACATTTGTCCATCTCAGGTGAAGGCAAGAGGGTCAGAAGTTCAAGGTGTGTCTTGATTTTGAGGCCAGCCTGGACTACACGAAATCCTGTCCCCAAATCAACAAATGAAGAACTTGATATTTTGGAAGAGAACGAGTAGCAGGAGAAGTGGCTTCCCACAGTGGACAGATGCCTCCCACTCCTCCAGGCCTTACGAAGATGGACTTCTAGGGGGTCATTCAGGATCGTCTGCCCAGTAAGCCATCGGGTGATTCAGGGACTGAGTGTCGGAAGGAACTGGAAGCAGAGCCACATAAAGTCAGCCATTCACAGAAGCTCAGAGCCTCTCTGTTCCTTTTTCCTGCGTGAGAGCCTGGCTGGAACCCTGTTCAAAGGAGAAGGGACCTATGAAGGCAGCTAGCCTGTTTCTGGGGGTGAAGGAAAGTTTCCAGGAACTGGAAGGTTTGAAGGTCTGGATGAAGATCCAAGCTTTAGAGAGGAGCACGCCCAGCCTCAGCACCAAGGCTGTGATTGGCTGTTTTGCTGTGATTGGCACCTGGCCTCTATGCTTTCAGTTTCTTCATGTGGAAAGAGAAAACACTAATTTCGAATTTCTGTAGTACGTTGAGAGAGTAGGACTTGAGGGTGAAGCTGTTTCAAGGCTGAATATTGAGACTCCCGAGATAGGTAAAGAGAGCTAATTGTGGCACTGAAATTCAGTGGGGCCTGAAATCCCTCAAGGGACACTGCTGCCACCAGGACAAGTGCACAGCAGTGAATCAGCCCAGCCGTGGGACTGCAGAAAGGTAGCATAGATCCAGCAAGCAGAGTCACTTAAATCGCCTGTGCCCTGGGATCCAGCTTACAAAGCCCAGGAATGATGGGAAGAAATTCCAATTAGCAAAGCAGCTGCCAGTCACTCCCAATGACAAGAAATCTGTGCACTATTATGGCCCAGGAATATCAGATAGAAAGTGCTGGTTTGCTTCCTTTCTCCAGTTTCTTAGGAAGTTGTCTTCTTGAGAGCATTAGCATCCTTTTGGCTCTTAGGGTGGAGGAGGGATCAGGACACCCCTGGTGGCAGAGCTGTGGTTAGCAGAGGCAACACTTGTTAGAGGGACTGGGGACCGTGTCTGAAGCAGTCGGAAGGAGCCAGTGCAGGGCAGTGAGAGTAATGGAGACACCCCCTCCCCCCTCTTAACTTGGCAAGAGGAAGCAGAACAAGCCAGTAGCGAGACTCGGAGCAGAAAATCACCTTGGATGATACTTCCAGAGGGAAAGGACTTGAAGCCCAGAGCATGGGCAGCCAGAAGCCAGAGGCTAGGGGAAGGGAGGCAAAGAGAGAGGATCTCCCTTTCCTCAGATGTGCCTTGGCCCTGACCAAGCAAAGAGGGGCAGATGTTCCGTCTTGTCCCAAGCCCCTGCGTCTGCCACCTTGTTTACCTCATGTCTATTTATAGTCACGGGCTCCAAGCCTGGTATGGGACTCTGCGATTTATATGACTATAAACTTCCAAAGGGCACTGAAAGCTGGCAAGGCAAGGATAGAGACAGAGGCAGGCCTCCCACGGTCAAAATGCCTACCCTCCCACCCACAGTGACCTTAAATGCTACTAAAGGACACGCGATTACAAGACCAGGCCCAGACAGCCAAGCCATGGGTGGGAAGCCGCAGCTGCTGTTCTGATCCTTTCACCCTGAGTTCAGGATTTGGAGGGAACCGTAGAGACTTTCCGTTAGTCTGATCTCTTCACACATGTTGTCGGGAGCAGGTCAGAAACTTCAGCGTGGCAGAGTGGGTTTCATCAGAAAGTGACTGAATTCAAGTGATTTTAGACATTTGAGGAAGAAGTGGAAACGGAGACCTGCTGGTTCCACCTGCCCCATTCACTGGCCAACAGAGAGAAAGATGAATACTTCTCTTGGCTTCCTTTGAGGGTGACTTTGGATGCCCAGCTGGCCCACCTCTCACTCAGATCAGAGAATGCTGACAGATTAAGGCCT